CAACTCCCTCCTCACTGGCCTACCCAAGTGCAGGCTCTCCCCCCTCCAGACCATCCTGAACTCAGCTGCCAGACTCATCCACCTCACCACCCGCTCCACCTCTGCCACCCCCCTCTGCCTCTCCCTCCACTGGCTACCGATTGCCCAACGCATCAAATTTAAACTCCTAACCCTGACCTACAAAGCCGTTCACAACACTGCCCCTGACTACCTCACCAACCTGATCACCAAGTACCACCCTACCCGTACCCTTCGCTCCTCACAGGACCTCCTTCTATCCTGCTCCCTGGTCTCCTCCTCCCATGCACGACTGCAGGACTTCTCCAGGTCCTCCCCCATCCTCTGGAACTCACTGCCCCAATCCATCAGACTGTCGCCTTCCCTATTCACATTCAGGCGCTCCCTCAAAACCCATCTCTTCAGGGAAGCCTACCCCACCCTCACCTAACGGCCATCCTCCCTCATTCCTCCCACCACTTCATCCCCCTCAGCCACTTCCTACTGTACCTTTACCCCCTCCCTCCTAGATTGTAAGCTCGTAAGAGTAGGGCCCTCTTACCCCTCGTACGTTGTTTGTTGTTGTTGTACTGTGCCATGTATTGTCCCCCCTATTGTACAGCGCTGAGCAAACCCTTTGGCGCTATATAAACTCGTAGTAATAATAATAATAATATCACTTTTAAAATAGCCCAAACACTAAACTAAAAGCCCCTATAAAATATGTACCTATAAAAAAGGAACTATATACTAACTACTAAGAGCCAAAATAAACTTTTCAATCTTTAAGGTGATAGCGCTGAGCAAAATACAAATACAATATTACTATTCAGTCCCAACATGTGAATACTTGGTGCAATGGTGCTGTATCTTTAACAGTGATACTCCATATTGAAATATCAAGTGCTTCACTGTGTTCACACTGGTGCCCCACATAGATGTAAAGTCACCTTCATTTCATGACCACCTATCTCTAGGTAAGTCACACTCGCTTTTTGGGATTATCCCAGTTTGCAATCCGGTCCTGATGGCAGATATTCTTTCGCCCTTATAACCGTGGTTGCTGGTAGTAGCCAATAACTTTCCACTAGATCTGCATCAATGTTAGGCAACTCCTCTCCTCCACAGGCAGTATTTTATATTTTCAGCATAGATCAAAACAAAACCAGACATCCCATAGTGTAAAACTGTATAAAACTTTAATATGGGGTCAAACAATAGAAATGCCACTCACAAAATAAGTGCATTTCCTGGCATTAGGTGTTTTCAGCTTTGTATATTATGAATGGGAATTAAGGTGGCAGCCGCATTCCAGCATGTGTTTCAAATCCCAGAAGTGACATCAGCGGAAGTTGTGTAATAAGCTCTCGACTAGTTTCGACCAATTCCAAGAGGAATATGTCTTGGGAGGAGCGGAGTGGGCAATTTAGGCGATATCTGTGGATGAGGTTGGTGATGTAGCTAGGGGCAGTGTTGTGGATGGCTTTGTAAGTTGTGGTTAGTATTTAGACTTTTATACGTTGATTTAGTGGAAGCCAATGAAGGGATTGGCAGAGAGGGGCAGCGGTCGCTGAACGGTTGGTAAGGTGTATGAGTCTAGCAGCAACATTCATAATAGACTGAAGGGGGGATAACCTGTGTAACGGTAGACCAGTGAGGAGGGAGTTGCAGTAATCAAGGTGGGATATAAATAAGGTGTGGATAAGTTGTTTTGTGGTGTCATTGGTCAGCAAGGGGTGGATTTTGGAAATGTTCCAGAGGTTGAGGCAGCAGGATTTAGCCAGTTATTGGATTTGGGTCCCAAAGGAGAAATCAGAGTCTAGGATTACGCCTAGTACCCTGGCATGCGGGGAAGGACCAATGGTTGTGCTGTTGATCTTAATGGTAAAGTCATGAGTGGGGGATCGGGGGAGAGGAAATATTACAAGCTAGGTTTTGGAATTTGTGATACGTGAGGAGATTGAGGGAGTGGAGAGATAGATCTGGATGTCATCAGTGTAGAGGTGGTATTGGAAGCCAGGGGAGGTTATCAATTGGCCCAGGGAGGAGGTGTAGAGAGAGAAAAGGAGGGGCCCAAGGACAGAACCTTGGGGTACCCCAATGGAAAGAGGGGGAGGAGCGGAGGAAGAGTTGTATGTGACTCTGAAAGTGCGCTGAGAAAGATAAGAGGAAAACCAGGAGAGAACAGAGTCATGGAGGCCGATGGAGTGGAGTTTACTGAGGAGGAGCGGGTGGTCAACTGTGTCAAAGGCAGCGGAAAGGTCAAGGAGTATGAGTATGAAGTAATGGCCATTGGTATTCGCAGTTAGTAGGTCGTTAGTGAGTTTTAGTAGGGCAGTTTCAGTAGAATGTTGTGGGTGGAACCCGGACTGCAGGGGATCGAGAAGGTTGTTGTCGGTGAGGTAGCAGTTCATACGGTTATGAACAAGGCACTCGAGAAGTTTGGAGGCAAATGGGAGCAGGGAGATGGGTCTTAAGTTATTCAAACAGGTGGGGTCCAGCGAGGGTTTTTTGAGTATGGGGGTAACCAGTGCATGTTTGAGCGGCGAGGGAAAGGGACCCATGGAGAGTGAGAGGTTGAAGATGTGGGTGAGAGAGTTTAGGATAGAGCAGGAAGGAGGCTGCAATAATCGTGAGGGGACAGGGTCCAGGGGACAGGTGGTGAAGTGAGCCTTGGAAAGGAGTTCATTAACTTCCTTGGTGGTAACAGGGTTGAAAGAGGAGAGTATTGAGTGTGGTGTTGGGCCTGGTATGTTGGTTGGAGGCAGAAGCTTGACACTGGATATCTCATCACGAATTGTGTTGATCTTGTTCTTGAAATGACTGGCAATATCCTGTGCAGTAAGTTGGTGGGTGGAGACAGTGGTGGGTGGAGTAAGGAATTAAGGTAGAAAAGAGTTGATGAGGATTGGATGAGAGGTATTTGATGAGAGTGTTGTAGTAGGTTTGCTTAGCAGCGTGGAGGCCGGAGTTGTATTTCAGAAGAGCAGATTTGCAGAGGGTAAAGTCTTTCAGGGATTTAGTTTTATGCCATGCTTGCTCAAAAGCGGTGCTGCATCTCTTGAGACTCCTGCTGTCATCTGTTTTCCAGGGTTGTGACAGGCAAGGCTTGGTTCTGCATGTAGAGAGAGGAGCAAGAGGGTTCAGGGAGGATGATAGATAGTTGTTGTAGGCAGATGTGGCCAGGTCTGAGAAGGACAGGGGTGCAATTTTATCATACAGGCACTCAGTAGCAGAGTGAAGAAGGTCAGGTCTCAGGTGGTGGAGGTTTCTACAGGTAACGGTTTGCTGGTTGGAGGCATGGGAGGTAGGAGATGGGGAGAGTGTGAAGCTGATAAAGTTGTGATCAGAGAGAGGAAAAGGGATGTTAGAGAGGTTACAGGGAGTGCATAGGTGGGAGAATACAAGGTTGAGGGTATTGCCATTAGAGTGGGTGGTGGATTGTGTCCATTGTGTTAGGTTAAAAGAGGAAGATGGGTTGAGTAGTTTAGAGGTGGCTGAGGTGTTAACATTCACTGGGATGTTAAAGTCACCGAGGATGATGGCAGGCACCTCAGAGGAGAGAAAGTATGGTAGCCATGCCGAAAAGTCATCAAGAAAACGTGAAACTGGGTGGGAGGCAGGTAGATGACTGTGATCCTCAGACAAACAGGAGAAAAGAGACGAATACAGTGCACATCAAAAGAGCAGGGGGACAGAGATGGAGGGGCAGGAAGAACTTGGAACATGCTTTGTGGGGAAAGAAGGAGTCTGACTGTGCCCCCTTTTTGTCCGCTGGGTCTGGACAAGTGATTCCAGAGGAGGCCACCATGGGAGAGTGCAGCTGAGGAGACAGAGTCAGAATCCTGGAGCCAGGTTTCAGTAATAGCAAGTAGGTTGAGGGAGTGGGAGAGGTCATTGATAGTAGAAAGTTTGTTAGAGACTGAGCAAACATTCCAGAGGGCACATAGGAGTGAGGAGCCGGCGCGTGGAAGCAAGGGAATTGAGATAAAAGAGTGAAGGTTGTGGCTGAAGCCAGAGATAGGAGGCTGCTGCTTTTGTGGGTTGGAGTTTGATGGTGGAGGGCCAGAGTTTGGGGCAATGTCTCCAGAAGTTAGTAGTAATAGGAGGGTGAGAGAGGTGAGGTGGGAGTGGGATTTGTATGACGGCAAATTCCGCAGTGATTTTGCAGTGGTGACATTATGTGGACCAAGAGAGAACAGGAGATAAGTGCAATGATATTGAGAGGGCATAAGTGAGGGTGATATGTACAGGTTTGTGGTGTGGGGAGGAGGGGTAAAGAAGAGAGAGTTTGAGGAGAGAAGGCATTATAACAAAAAAGAAAGTTAGCAAGAGCATGCTTGAGAGAGAAAAAATAATGAAGGAAAGCTGAGGGAAAGAGGTAGGAGAGGAAAGAGCACTTGCAGACAACTTGAGGTGGAGCACTAAAGTTTGTACTTGCCTTAGTCAAAGTGCAGTGTTTAAAGTGCCTTGCACTTCACGCTAGAATGACACTTTGCACAAGGAATCGCCAGCCTGTTCTCTCGCCACCTGTCCCAAAGACTGTACTGAATTTATACTTGGATGGACTGGGGGAAGTTAGGCAAGAGTTAAATTAAGAGCTAATAAATGGCACATGGTGGAGGTGTATTGCCCTTTACAAATTGCAAGCAGGATGGACACAAGATAAGACAAGGTGTTTGATTTCAGCTAAGGCACTATGAGACTAAGTTCACTTAATACATGCAAGTACAGACAGTAGTTACAAAAATATAACAAAGCAGGTAATTTCAGGTATGCAAAATAGCTTAGCGATTGAGAGTAGTCCCGCTCACCCTGCATATACTTAAGCCATTATTTAAAAAATGGTCAACAGCATGGCATATAATATAACACTTCAAATATGAAATAAAAGAAAGTACCGTATTTCGCTCTCCATAAGACGCACCTGACCATAAGACTCACCTAGGTTTTAGAGGTGAAAAACAAGGAAAACAAATATTCTGAACCAATGGACTGCAGACCCAGTACAGGAGATGACCAGAGACTGCAGACACAGTACAGGAGATGACCAGAGACTGCAGATACAGTACAGGGGATGACCAGAGACTGCGGACACAGTACAGGGGATGACCAGAGACTGCAGACACAGTACAGGAGATGACCAGAGACTGCGGACATAGTACAGGGAATGACCAGAGACTGCGGACACAGTACAGGAAATGACCAGAGACTGCGGACACAGTACAGGAGATGACCAGAGACTACAGACACAGTACAAGAGATGACCAGAGATTGCGGACATTGTACAGGAGATGACCAGAGACTGCGGACACAGTGCAGGAGATGACCAGAGACTGCGGACATAGTACAGGGGATGACCAGAGACTGCAGACAGTACAGGAGATGACCAGAGACTGCGGACATAGTATAGGGAAAATGCCAGGGACTGCAGACATAGTACAGATGACCAAAGACTGCAGACAGTACAGGGGATGACCAAGAGACTGCGGACCTTTGGGAAGGGAGGGGGAGCGAGTACCTGAAGTTGTCCTTTTAGTGTGGGCTCGCTGGCTTTTTCCCGCACCAGTTTCTGTGACAGCCGGGTGCCCACTGCGCATGCACGAGAAGCGCTGCGCTTTGTGAATGGCCCAGCGCCTTCTGGGACCTGTCATGTACTAAAGATCTGGGAATGTTGTTGCAGAAAATGGGTAATAATCCATGCGTTAGTATAGGCTAATTTACATTTATGTTCATGAATGAAATTATTTTCTTGTTCCTCTTTAGTTTTTTGAAAGGCCTTTTTGAGGCATTTGTTACTATAAGAAGTTCTTCTTTGTGCTGTTCCTATTCAACCTTAGATATTGTATGTATAGCATTCTTCTTAATGAGGGACCTGGGATGGGAACTCACTCTGTATAAAATCTTATTGGCCAATTAGAGCTTTCTCTATAGATGTAAATCAAATTACCATCATCTTGCACCTTGATTTGTAAATAAAGGAATGTGACCTTCTTCCAGGTTACAACTCCTAGTGAATTTTAGATTGAAATCCTTACACCCAAATCAAACAACCTAAACCATCAAATTCAAAATGTGAGCCCCTCCAGACTATAAAGACATCATTGCTGTACCTGTACCATGGCAATACTTGGTACAGGTGCATTGATGAATCCTGACCATAGAGCAACTGCCTCTCCCACCTCTCCAGGTACAGATTGGCATATGATGGGGCACTCCGCATCCACATCAATGCCCCCTTCACCTAGAGGAAGTGGGATCCATCAAAAATTAATACATTCCTGTGTAGGATATGCTCAAACAATTCCAGAATAATTTGGTTGTAGGGGCATGCAGATTGCTTTTTTCTCTGTGTATGATGTTGCAATGTGTTCACTGTTCAGCATTAAGCTTTAGATCTGGTGTTATATCATTATATACCATTTAAATATATATTTTCACATTAGCACCTTGCTATCTCCTAAAGAATTATTTTCCATGAAACATGTTGAGACATGCCCCCCACCCCCCATCAATACAGCATTCTGCTAATTATTCTGAGATTATCACATTGCTCGGCTACATATAACACATTACAAAGAAAAACACAAACCTTATCATTTATACCTTTAAACAATTCCCTCCCAACTCCCTCCCCCACCTCCCTCCCAACTCCCTCAACCTCTTCCACCCCATCCCTCACCCACCTGCTCTGGTCCCCATCTCTTCCAGTGTTCTCTCTTCTCTATCTCATTGTTCCTCTTTATTTCTTTTTTTATTCTCAGGACTCCTTCTTCCTTCTTCCTAGTCCATCTAGCTCTCTCTAATTTCTCCACCTTCTCCATCTCCTCATTTATATGATTTTCTATAGATATCCAATTTCTTCAACCTTTCCTGAAATCTCTCAATTTTATCCTCCTCCAGATGTCAGACTTCTTCCATCCTATAAACGTAATCCTTCCTACTTATCCAATCCTTTATTTTTGGTACTTCCTGTTTCCGCTCTGCGAGGACGTCGATGACGAAAAGCTTAGGGCAGTGCCTTTGAATGTGAGGTTCAGAATACTCCTGGTTTGTCTGCACGTTGCATGTGCATGTTTGGCTGGGTCTGAGTCACCTGTATTCATCACACATGCTGTCTATACTGGTGTCAGTCTGGACACCTTGCTTGTAAGTGCATTTCTTCATTAAAGTTTGATGCTTTTTAAAACATACTGCACCATGATTGTTCGCTTTTTTTTTTTTTGAGTGACGGTCTGATCATCTCTCAGTTTGGATACTAAATCACCTTTGGAGTGGATTTTCAACTTTGCAGCACATCATCTGTTGGAGTTCATCCCTCATTTCTTCAGTGTTGTTGTCACCATATTATTCATTTCTCCAGAATAACAAGTACTAGATGCTGGTTTTTCAACAATCAGCATATTACTCTGGTGAGTTCTATTTAACCATTTTTGGTGGTGGATTTACTTGGTGATGAATTATTTTGGAGATTATTGATTATTTGAACTTTTGGACTTTTTCGTTTTTGCTGGATTTTATTTTTATTTAAAATATTGTTTCTTATTGTTTTGTTATTTATTTTTTTGTTACACTTTTGTATGTATTTAAGCGCAACCTATTTTTTTTGAAGTTTTGTATATAAGTTTATAGGCTAGGTTTTGAAGCTTATTGTTTTATATAATTTCCGTGGCGCTGGTTCTTTATTTATATATATATATATACTTTCTGTTTCTGCCAAAATTTAGGAATCAGTCCTTTTGCGGCATTCATAAGATGGAATTCCACCGAGTTTTTTATATTTCTTTACTGTGTTGTCTGTTTTATGGAATAAAAAAATCCCTGGGTCTTTTGATATACTCTTCCCAGTAATCCCCTGTATTTATTATATTATCTCCTCCCAATATTTCTGTATTTTAAAACATTACCACCAAATATGTGCTATAGTGCCTTCTTTCTCACATCCCCCCAACACTTAGGTGAATTATCTATTTGTTGTTTATGTGCAACACTCGGTGTAACATACCACCTTGCTAACCATTTATAATTAATTTCCACTACTTTCATGTCTACAGCCCCCTGTGGCAATCTATATATTTTCTTTTTCTGCTGCTCATCTAATGCTATTCCCAATTCCCTTTATCATTTCACCATATACAAGGGGGTAGTGATTTCTACACTTGTGGTATGAATTTTATATATTCGAGAAGTACCATTTTTCTGTAACCCATTTTCTACTGAGCAGTTGCTCGAAGGGGTTAAAATCCTTAACTGTCCTTAGAGGCTTAGGGAGCCTTGAAACAAAATGTCTGAGTTGTAAATATCACCACTCATCTAATCTAGAGGACAGCTTCTTATTTTTTTAACTCTTGAAAGGAGCATATTGCTTCTCCCTCCATTATATCCCTTAACTGGACATCATCTTTTCTTATCCACTTCCTTGATATATTTCCCTGGCAGAAAGAAATTTGAATCCACCAACAGCATTAACATGGAATTAAACTCCCATTTCTTCTGCTTTTGAATAATATCCCAAACCCTGATTACACTTCGTGTATATGTGCTTGTGTTTTCTGCTAAATTATGGTGCTGTTGCGGCAACCACATTATCCTATTCAGCTGTACCCCACTTAAAGTACTTTTAATATTCACCCAACTTTTCTTTTGTGCATTATGTGTCCAATCAAAAATATGTGACAATAATACTGAGTAATAATATTTCCTAAAATCAGGTACACTTAACCCTCCATTATCTTTATCTCTACACAATACATCATAGCTTATTCTAGGTCTTTTATTTTTCCAGATGAACCTCAATATCAGTTTTTTAATTATATTGAAATAGGCTCCCTGGAGCTGTATAGATAGCATATGGAATTTATATAACATTTTCGGACAATTACCATTTTTAATAAATGTATTCGTCCTATCCATGATTTGAGTCCGACTGCTAATTTCCTCAGTTCTACCATAATCTCGTTTATTAGTGGGATATAATTTACTTTATATAGATTCTTTAGGGTGGTCAATTTCATCCCAAAATATTTTAGCTCTTTTTCTCTCCATATAAAACAGGAATTCTCCAGACAAGGCCTTTTTTTCTGTTAATGAAACACTAACATTTAAAATCTCAGATTTTACAGGGTTATTTTTTAAGTTTGACAGTTCTCTGTAATATTTCATTGTTTTGATCAAGTTTGGTAGTGTCATCCTAAGATTGACCACATAAAATAGCATATCATCTGCGTATGCTGCCACTTTATGTTCTATTTCCCCCACCCTTATCTCTTTTATATCAATGCTGTTCTTTTGCTAGGAGAGACTCCAGAGACAGAACAAATAAGAATGGCTAGAGAGGGCACCCTTGTCTTGTCCCATTATACATCCTGAAAAACCCCGACACCAAACCGTTGACCTTCACTGCTGCTGATGGGCGACTATATAGCTTTCCTATCCACACAAAATATATAGAAAACTTGCGCCAAAGGAATAAATGAAAAATAAATGCTGCTGTTCAGAAATTGACTAAACATCAAAATATACTCATAGAAGTGATAAAGAGCAAATAATACAAATAATAAAAATTTGACAAATTATATATTAAAATCCAACAAAAAGTCCCAAATTAAAGTCCAATGTCCCAAAAATTTGTGAAAAAAATATTTTATAGAACGATAACTCAAACTTCATAAATTTTCCAGCATGCTCACATTGACGCAATTGACCAGATTTGGCAATGAAGAACCAGCAAAATTGTGGAATCAGATCTTTGCCCACACTAAAGATGGCCACGGAACGCCGCATCAGCGTGCGTTCCACTCACCGGATATGACACCACATGTACAGGGTCGGAACTGGAAGTTACGTCAACATGTTTCACCTTCCCACAAGGCATCTGTCCATCCATGAGTGTGAGCTTGGAGGAAGTTAAGGATGGATCATCATCTGTAATTTGGAAGGCATATAATTCCAAGAAAATTGGTGTCTAACCACCTTATGTGAGTGTAAGGAAGGTTTTTTTTGTGCACTTTTATATATATTTTTTTTATCATTATATAGTAATATACCATTGGCATCTTTTCTTTTATGTTTTATCGCTATATGTGGAAATATCTGGGAAGGAGAGTCAGTGAGAAATCACTTAAAGAGTATTACAACTTCTGAGGATACTATACCCCACCTGCAGGCTTGTCTTTTTGTCTCTTAAAGCTATATTAGCTAGAGAATTCACAGTACTTGGTGAGTGTGGATCAAATGTTTGAGTTACAGTTCTATAAAATATTTTTTTTCACAAATTTTTGGGACATTGGACTTTAATTTGGGACTTTACTATATAACTTTTCACAGCTTTCCTATCCACTCTTTCATCCTAGGCCCAACTCCCAAGACTTCCAATGTGTCTAACATAAAATCCCAATCCACCCTGTCAAAAGCTTTCTTTGCGTCTACTGATAATAGCAGAACGGGGGCTTT